CGAGTCAAACGCCGACCTCACGTGCTTGAGGGTCTTCTCAACAGGCATAGGCTCAGCCATGATCGCACCGAGTGCAATGGCCACTTTGCTTTGAACCGACACTGCGTATGCGAAAGCCTTCTGAACCAGGTCGGTGAGGTTGAGTCCCCTACCTTCGGCGTGTTCAACAGTGCATGAACAAACCCTTCCGTCAAGATAATTGTGAAGGTAGCGCATGTTGGTTTTAATGGTCCGAGGTTTCTTCCTAGGAACACCATCAACAGTTTTCACACCCACAGCACAACCATCAAACTCGACAGGGGTCATTTTGTTACGTATGACAAACTTGTCCACAGCCGTCTCGTTCCAGCAAGTGCAGCTCCTTGGCCATTCAATTGCAATTAATGGTTTGCCAGATTCCAACGAGTTGACAAGATCAACAAACGCAGGCCAAATTCTTTTGTATATGGATCGATGTCGCTTCACCTTCTCCCTCACCGTGTCATGGTTCGTATTGATATGAGACCATGCATGCAGTACCACCAGTGCAAGGAATGCTCGCTCAAACCAATACAGGAATAGGGGTTTTGCTGCTCATAGCACGAACACTCTTGACCTCGCCGATGACACGTTTTCTTGTGGCGTGGGAAAGAACATCATCATCCTGACTAATACGAATCACGTGGCAGCTGACAGCAGGACGACGCGAAGTATCCCCAAGCTTGGAACCATGCGAAAACCAGGATACGATTAGTGTGACCCCCCGTGTTCCTGGCCGTGGCGATGCAGCCGGCTTGCCTGAGTGAACAATTTTGCTGGCGATGTTCATGAGCTTCAATCCCCTTGCCACTTTTCGGCACTGGTGAAAGGCTTTGTAAGAATATTGGCAGCTTGGAGCTCTGTTGAAACGTGAGTGACCTTGTAGTGCTTCCGTCTGCAATGCTCCGCCAACCAAGCACGTTGGGTTTTGTCCGTGTGGCAAAATGCTGGAGACCTACAACTCTCAAGAAGCCGTGTAGTGGCCTGGTTGTCCTCAAGAAAGATGCCCTCAAAAGAACCGTTGTTCATGAGAGTAACATGTTCATTTACTATTTGTTCATTTCCGACTTAGTCAAAGTCCGTGAGGTTTTCCCTGATCTCTTTAGCCTCGATGTTAAGGTCAACTTCGCCAGCCCCCCGCATGAAGAAGTATGTCTTGCCAATCCGTGCGAGTCGGTCTGCTGGTCTGAAGCAAACATTGAGATCGATGATGCCGCTCCTAAAGAGTTCTGGGCAATCATCACTTGATGGAATGAATAGCTGATTCGTAAGAGTGCATGTTGGGTTATCCTTGCCACCCCCCGCCGACTGTATGACTTCCCAGTCCAACAGCACGCAAAGCAACATTTGCTGCAATCACCTCAGCTTCCGTGGATGCCTTTGCTGTTGAGGTCTGCTTCTTCGAGAAAGCAGTCAAACGATGACATGTATTTGGACCAACCAATGCAAGAAAACATCCTGATGTGCTGCGTGAATCATGTTCGCCAGCATGACCTGAGTCCGCAAACAACCAAAGCCGGGTTTGTGATGAAGGATCACCAACAAAACCGTGCATCTTACGATCCCGGAAGAGCGCTTGGTCACAGTCGACGGACCACTTGGTGACGCGAGAAGCCAGACCCTGGGTCGCTCTCAACAGATCGAAGCGGGCCATCCTCGCAGCAAACAGGAATGTGGGACGAATCCATTGGTAGTCGAGCAACTGCTGCGTTTCTTTTCGGAGAGACATCTTTGGGCTCTTTTGGCATGGCCGTTAGGCCTGCGGGGATGCAGGAATCACAGCCAAAGTCAGAATCACACTGATGTTGGCACGAAGTCTTTGTGTTCTTCAACATGCCTTGCACCATTGCTTCATGCGTGACACCGACGAGCACAGCATCGGTAATCGCCATTTCGTTGAAATTTGGAACATGGTTCAAGGGGAAACTCTTGTGCAAACCTTCTCGACGACACATTCAGTCCGTCAGTCTCATAGTTCGTAATGGACGGGTAGTCCACGAATTGCACACTCTTCTTGATCGTGGCGTTCCCTGAAAAATGTTGTGACTCACGCTAGACAAGCAAGGATACAAGGCAACCGAAACCATTGCTTGGAGAAGACACACGGCCGCATTACCGCCCTTCAATGAGCGGGGAGACTTAAGGGACTGAGACTACTTTGAGTCTTTCAAATCATGAGAAGATTGCCTGCTGTTCTTCTTCTGGTCTCTTCGGCGATGCTTTCGGTGTATCTAGCGGTCTTTTCAGCTTTCGCGGCAGGAGTGGCTTTTGAAGCTGCTGGATGCTGCCACGGAGGCTTCGAGCTCGAAGGACTTACTTCTTGGGGGTGTGAGATTGCGAGCCGCCCTTCTTGCCCTTCCCCTTACCCTTTGATGTTTTCACATGCTCAAAGCGACAGTCAGCTCCATAGGTACATTGGCCAGTCCTGAAATTTAACACATACACCTTTGGGAACTCCAGAAACAGCAGGATTGTTCAAGGGAGTCCGACCACGTCCCGTCGTGTTGCTTGACATCGCATCTCTCATATGAACAAGCCTCTTCCTTTCCAAACGAAACCTCGCTGCTTTGATCAGGAACTGATAGGAATGCTTGTCTGTTCTCTCCTCCGCCCGTTCATGATCGTTGAAGTCATGAGTGAGGGGGCTACTTCCTGATCTGCCTGTGGAACAGTGCCTCGAGATCTTTTCTTGCTGCTCGTTGCCATGAGTGTGTCCCATCTGGTAGTGAAATTCTTTAAGTCTTCATTGATGAGCTGAGCAGAAAGCAAATCCTCGAAATCAAAAATCGCACCGTGCATGTTCGTGCTGAAATGCTTGTGAACCGTCAAGAGAATCTGTCGGCCTCGCGCGTATCTCTTCTCCTTCGCCTCTTGCTCTTTGAAGATGTAGACTTGCCCGCCTTCCAAGATGTTCGTCAATGCCGACGCCAGCTTTGCGTCGAGATGAATAAACATGCCTGAGCCACGAAGGACTTCAACCGTCTGACCAGGGATCCAAGTTTCCTCAATCCACTCAAATGCCTTTTCGGGTTGATCGGAAGTAGCAACAACAGCACCCCTAACTTTGATCCTCCAATAACAGTACTGTTCGGGTTTCGGAAAACGGGGGATATGAATTCGATCACGCTCCTTTACACGAACGCGTTCCGTTGTCGGATCGCCGGAAGAACCTGGTCCTTCAGTAGCTTACGACTCATCAGACGCTGTAGACGATGAGGATGAGAAGGATGAAGGAGAAGAGGCTGGATCTCGTCGCCTCCGTCGGCTCCGGTCCTTCTTGCTCTTCTTCTTCTTCTTTTTCTTCGTCTTCTTGCCCTTCTCATCTCCATTAATTCCATCATCACCGGGCCCACCGTTTCCGGTAGCAGCATCTGCCACGACCCCGGCGGGAAACGGATCCATCTTTGCCGTAGGGGCGCTCCCGACCTTCGTCCAGCTGTGTGAAGAAGCAGTGGAAAGTCCGGGTGGAGATGCAACCACAGGTGCTGGGGGTGCAACCAAAGGAGTGGCTGGCGCTTGCTGAGCAGGAGGCACAGCAGTCGGAGCAGCTTGTTGTTGTTGTAGTTGTTGTTGTAGTTGTAGTTGTAGTTGTAGTAGTAGTTGTAGTTGCAATTGTAGTTGTAATTGCATTTGTAATTGTAATTGCAGTTGTTGTGGTTGTGGTTGTGGTTGTGGTTGTGGTTGTGGTTGTGGTTGTGGTTGTGGTTGTGGTTGTGGTTGCGGTTGCGGTTGCGGTTGCGGTTGCGGTTGCGGTTGCGGTTGCGGTTGCGGCTGCTGTTGCTGTTGCTGTTGCTGTTGCTGTTGCTGTTGCTGTTGCTGTTGCTGTTGCTGTTGCTGTTGCTGTTGCTGTTGCTGTTGCTGTTGCTGTTGCTGTTGCTGTTGCTGTTGCTGTTGCTGTTGCTGTTGCTGTTGCTGTTGCTGTTGCTGCTGTTGCTGTTGCTGTTGCTGTTGCTGTTGCTGCTGTTGATGTTGTTGTTGTTGTTGTTGTTGTTGTTGTTGTTGTTGTTGTTGTTGTTGTTGTTGTTGTTGTTGTTGTTGTTGTTGTTGTTGTTGTTGTTGTTGTTGTTGTTGTTGTTGTTGTTGTTGTTGTTGTTGTTGTTGTTGTTGTTGTTGTTGTTGTTGTTGTTGTTGTTGTTGTTGTTGTTGTTGTTGTTGTTGTTGTTGTTGTTGTTGTTGTTGTTGTTGTTGTTGTTGTTGTTGTTGTTGTTGTTGTTGTTGTTGTTGTTGTTGTTGTTGTTGTTGTTGTTGTTGTTGTTGTTGTTGTTGTTGTTGTTGTTGTTGTTGTTGTTGTTGGTGTTGGTGTTGTTGTTGTTGATTGCTCATCATTTGTTCACATTTGCAACATGCTGACTGAATTGGTTCGTGGACTGTGTGGCATAGGGTTTCCCCTTGCGAGTGTCATACATGACGACGTCACCATGCCGATGCCCATCCGATCCAACGGGTGAAGGAGATCGAGCACCAGCCTGCTCAGGCCTTCCTTGGTCGCTCCTGGACCAAAGCGATTCGGGGCCTTGACTGTTCAAAGCTCGTCCCTTCCTGATGAGCTCTCTGGCCGCTTGTGAGTTCGCGCGGCTTGTAGGTGCAGAATGCGAGGCGTCGTCGCCCGCATGCTCATCAGGAGTAGGAAGCACCTCAGTAGGGGAGATTCCAGGGTCGCCATCCATGGCGTACAACTCTGTACAGTGAGCCGCTTACGGCTGATAACCTATAGAACAGGCTAAGCAGCCTAGAAGGGTCAGCTTTCAACCCAGCGGTAAGCGCTTTTCTTGAGCCCTGCGTAGCGGGTAACGAAGCTACGCTAGTGAGTCTCCTGCAATTGGGGTTAATGATGTTAATGGGGTTGATAAATACATCACATGGTAAAATACAGAGAAGGACAACGACGAAGACGACAACAACAACAACAACAACAACAACAACAACCACCCCCAGCAAGAGCAAGTGCATGCTCATGCCCAAACGGAGCTTGAGCTGCTTTTCACCGGCGGAGGCGCTTCATAAGAAGGCTCCGGCTTCACCCGGCTCAGAGGCCTACCATTGCGGCAGAGCGTTGCCACAACTCAGCTGCCTTAGCGCGCTTCACGGCCACAACGGCAACATGATAATCCAGGGCCAAACGATTTGCAATGTGGTTTGCAGTCAACAAGCATTACTGCGTTATGCGCTTGATAGTCCTGCCTCTCGCTGATTCTGGGCCTCTGGTGACGGTTGGTCCTTGCGTGTGATAAATCAATTGAAACCGATACGCATTTCAGTCCTCCACGAAGAGGTGCTTCCCGGGAGGTATGGCCTCAAGTTCGGCAAGCCAGGGCCTTGCCCCGGAAGTCGGGCTCAGCTCTTGCCAAGTGGCTGAGTAGAAACAGCCCGACCGTTGGTCCAAGCTCGGGTCCAGCGCCATAAGCGCTAGAGCCATGCCTTTCCCGCGCCCACATCCCGGTGTGTGCATGGACGTTTTGCCTGGCCTCCAAACTCCGGCGTCTCCGCAATCTTCAGAATGTTTTGCGCAGCGAAAGCGAACACGGAGGAGAACCCCTCACGCGAAACAATGACATTAAAACCGCCACAGGTAGCACATCTTTTCGCTTTCCGCAAACATGTGGCCTCGTTGGCAAACACATGGTTCGGATCACTTTAACTCGCGAGAAAGGGAACGGTTGCTGCCCCCAGTCCACTTGAGGTGTGTCCCCACGGTGCAACCGTCGGGCGGCTCGTGTTTATTGACCTGACCCTTTAACTCAAAGGAACTTGTACCATTCTAGAATCTGCGGCGGATCCTTGCATCCACTCAAGTGGTTGGGCTTTGGGCTGGGTGGAATGTCAGATTGCACTGTCAATCCGATCGGCTTTCCCGGGCCTAAGGCTTTCTGTCACAAGGCGAGGGGCATGGCGCACGCGTCCCGAGTCCAACAAGTCTGCCGGTCTGCCTGGCTCTGGTAGCGGAAGAAGGTAGGCGAGGGGATCAGGCCTGGCCAACTCCGAGCTCACAGCTTGCAAGTTCGGCAAGCGGAAAGGAATGCGAACGACGCGCTGCGGAAGGAGTCGGAGCGTAGCGCTTTGGCGGCCCTTCAACTCGTTGTTGCTCCCTTCTTGTTCGCTACGGCCGCCTTCTTTCTCTGCACTTCGTTTCTTCTCTCCCTCTGCTCTTTTGGATTTCACATGATTTCACGAAACAGACTTTCCTTCGGCCCGGAGGTTGCAAATTGCTCTGCGCAAGTTGCTCTGGGCAAGGCGCCTTTTGCAAGTTGCTGAGCGCAAGTTGCTCTGCGCACACCTTGTCTTCCATTTCTATCTATTTCCTAACAACCTCTTTCAATGGCCACACACAAAGGCTGTACCGCCAGAATCCTGGAACATCTAAGGGTGCATATGCTCCATCCAAAAGCTGCACGCTTGATTTTATGGAAACTTGGTCTGTGGGGGAAGTCTTTGAGGTATGATCCAGCGAAGCTGGATGACGGAGGCTTCGTGAAGCTGGGAGTGCACTTCGAGCGCTGAGTTCGTGCTCAAAAACTCGACACTTGAGCCAGAGCACTTCGAGTAGCACTTTCGCACTTAAGAGCCGGAGCTGCGGGAATAGCCGGAGCTGCCGGAAGTACTTCAAGCGCTACGCGCGTTTGGGACCTCTTGCGGCGCTTAACAAGGACAATCGCGTGTCCCTTGCTTTCGGACTTCTTCCCGTAGTCTTCCAACTTCTTCCCGTAATCTTCATTCGTTCATTCATTCATCTATTTATTTATTCATTCATTCATTCATTCATTTCATTCATTCTTTCATTCATTCATTCATTCATTCATTCATTCATTCATTCATTCATTCATTCATTCATTCATTCATTCATTCATTCATTCATTCATTCATTCATTCATTCATTCATTCATTCATTCATTCATTCATTCATTCATTCATTCATTCATTCATTCATTCATTCATTCATTCATTCATTCATTCATTCATTCATTCATTCATTCATTCATTCATTCATTCATTCATTCATTCATTCATTCATTTCATTCATTCATTCATTCATTCATTCATTCATTCATTCATTCATTCATTCATTCATTTCATTTCATTTCATTTCATTTCATTTCATTTCATTTCATTTCATTTCATTTCATTTCATTTCATTTCATTTCATTTCATTTCATTTCATTTCATTTCATTTCATTTCATTTCATTCATTCATTCATTCATTCATTCATTCATTCATTCATTCATTCATTCATTCATTCATTCATTCATTCATTCATTTGCTTCATTCATTTTAATGTACATCCAGCCTTGTACATGACCTTGGCCTTTGTACATCAAGGCCTTGTCAGGTCATCAGGTGTTTACACAGTTTAGTCCCACTATAAAAATTCGCCCTGGCAAATGGGCAATGCCGAAGCCTATTAATGGACATGGACTATCCGCTCAAGGCGCACAAGAAAGACACACGTGCAATACTCACACTCACTTTGTTTTAGCGGCGGATGGGTTTTCATTCCATGTGTATAGTTCACACACACCTGATTCACGGGCAGAAACTGTGAGGCTTCTAGGCTACGAGCATTTGCTTATGGTTCCCCCGTATCTGACGTTGTAAATAGTTGTGCAACAAGACGTGGTCTCTCTTTCACGACTTTCACGGTCGCTTGACTTTCTAGCCAACAAAGGCTTACGCTGCAACCTCGAACTTGCATTGTTTCCCTACAACGCTGATTGGAGGTTGTCAGGAATCACGTTCAGAATGTTCAACCAGGAGTCATACTATTCGTAATGTGGTTGTTTTCGAGCAGCCCGGGTCAACACAGGCAGTTACCGGTAGATGCTTAGCTTGTGCGTAATTGGCGGAAACTACATGGATGGCTTGACATGCTGGTGAAATATCAAAGGCGTTTAGACTCCAGAAAGCTCAGGAGACTTAGACCAACTATGACCAAATCTTGAAACAAAGGCTGTGCAATTCGTAATCGATTTAAATTGTCAAATTGGGGACCACGCCCAGGCGCGAGCCATACTACGGGTCAATATCAAACATGTGTAGTCAGGGTCGCTATCACACTTGCCGCTTTTGGCTCTGCTTCAAAAGCACATGCTTCGTCGAGTTAGATAGTTTTTGCATTGCCAAGAAACTAAAGCGAAGTAGACTCTTCCCGAAAGCAAGTGTGTACTTACAACCAAGGTGATAACTTTGCTACCTCGGCTGCAGATTGTCGTGTCAGACCGATAGGCAATGGAAGCGTGATTCCCGTATTCTTAATTGCCCAACAAGCGCTTGAGCATGGTCCTCGAGCTTAACCACTCAAACCAGTCCAAGCTTGTGACACTCCCACAAACAGCTACTTGACTATGTTCTCACGATGGATGTCATGTACATGTTTGTATGTTATGTGTGTAATGTCTGCACCAGCCAAGGCCAAGACCGGTCAAATTCTTATGACTCGCTTCGTTGTTGAGCTGCCACGCTTCAATCGCGCTTGCGCCTGCAGTGGAGTTCCGGACAACTGATTTTGTTTTTGCGGGCGTCGTGGTATGGTGGGTTTTGCTTCACACGAGGGGCACGATGAATGTTGAGCGACTCGTACAAGTGTGCACCCCAATCTTTCAACTAGTGCGACGACGTGTCTGGTGGCTATAGATCTGTTTTGTGACTTCGGCCTGGCTGACCCGTTGCAGCTGTGCGAGCTACAACTATACATTAGCAGAGCTTGACTAAGTTTGGATTTTGATGCATAGGTATACTCGGCAAAAAGGCCATGCGGCGCAACATTGGCAACACAACTGGACTTTGCTTGCTGGCTAAGAATCTATATATGCACATGCATATGTGTATGTGTATACATGTATGTGTATATACAATTTGTATGCAACACCATTTTATCATGGAAGGCCTCACATCAATATGCATATGGAACATACATTCCGTGCATGATATTTAGAATGTATGTAATACACTGTAACCCGTGAAGCCTGAAACCTAGTCGCAAGAAATGCACGTGTGTTCTTTGCGCACGGGTCTTTGGCCCTAGCTAGGACTGTCCGAAACAAAAGACCTCAAACTTGAAAGGTTTCAGGCTTGGTTCGTGGAATTTTGGGGTCTTTGCCAAGACCTTAGATACAAAGGTCTTGGGTCCTAATGACGATCTGACCGTAATTTGCGGGGACGTGATAAAAATTGATGACGATCTGACTGTAATTCTGCGGAGAAGCAAAAATTTGATGACGATCTGACCGTGATTTCCGCGGAGAGGAAAAATTGATGACGATCTGACCGTAATTTGCGGGGACGCGTTAAAAACTGATGACGATCTGACCGTAATTCCGCGGAGAGGCAAAAATTTGATGACGATGTGAGAGAAATCCTGCTGAGAGGCAAGTTAATGACGGTCTGACCGTTATTCTGCGGAGGCTAAAATTCATGACGAGTGATAAAAATTGATGACGATCTGACCGTAATTCTGCGGAGAGGCAAAATTGATGACGATCTGACCGCCATTCTGCGGAGAGGTACGATCTGACCGTAACTTCTGCGGAGATGCAAAATTGATGACGATCTGATCGTATTTGCGGGGACGTGAAAAAACGATGACGCTCTGACCGTAATTCTGTGGAGAGGCCAAGTGTCATAAGCTTGGACCGGTTTGAGTGGTTAAGCCCGAGGACCATGCTCAAGGCGCTCGTTGGGCAATTGAGAAATCGGGAAGCACGCTTCCAAAGTTGTCTACTTCGCTTTAGTTTGTCTTGGCAAAGCAAAAACTATCTAACGCGACGAAGCATGTGTTTGTGAAGCAGAGCCCAAAGCAGCAAGTATGACAGCGACCCTGGCTAATACATGTTTAATAATGACCCGTATTACTATGGCTCGCGCCTGGGCGTGATCGCCGATTTGACCGTTTAAAGCGACTACGAATTGCAGAGCCTTTGTTTCCAGATTTGGTCATAGTTGGTCTAAGTCTCCTGACCCTTCAGGAATCTAATTAGACGCCATCGATATTTAACCAGCATGTCAAGCCATCCATGTAAAAGCATCTACCGATATACTGCCTGTGTTGACCCGGGCTGTTCAAAGGTGAAAAGTCCAAGCTCGGCGAAAACAATCACATTGCGAACGGTATGACTCCTGCTTGAACATTCTGAACGTGATGCCTGACAACCTCACGCATTTGCGTTGTAGGGAAACAATGCAAGTTCAAGGTTGCAGCGTAAGCCTTTGTTGGATAGAAAGTCAAGCGACCGTGAAAGTCGTGAAAGAGAGACCACGTCTTGTTGCACAACTATTTACAACGTCAGATACGGGGGAACCATAAGCAAATGCTCGTAGCCTAGAAGCCTCACAATTTCTGCCCGTGAATCAGGTGTGTGAACTATACACACGGAATGAAAACCCATCCGCCGCTAAAACAAAGTGAGTGTGAGTATTGCACGTTTGTCTTTCTTGTGCGCCTTGAGCGGATAGTCCATGTCCATTAATTAATTTGCTTTGGCATCGCCCATTTGCTAGGCGGCACTCTGGCAGCGCCTGCTTATAACCGACGTTCAATAATGAGACCTAGCGTCACATTACATTACATTATATTACATTCCATTACATTACATTACACACACATACATACATACCTACCTACATTACATACATACACACGTGTATGCATATGCATGCATACATACATTCCACTACATCACATCACATCACATCGCATTAGCTTACCTTACCTTACAATACATTGCATTGCATTACATTGCACACATACATACACACATGCTGGTCGCTTTCTCCACGTCGTTAAAGTTGTTTGCCCCTCGCGGTTCTTAACGTTCGCTTTTTCCATGTCTTTGAAAGTCTCTGTCCGTCACGGTTGTTAGTATTGGTCGCTTTTTCCACGGCGTTAAAGTTCTCTGACACTCGCGGTTCTCAACGGTCACTTTTTCCATGTCTTTGAAAGTCTATATTGTCTGTGTGTGTAAGTTTGGCTGTCCGTT